GAAAGCCATAACATTCATAATGAAAATAGAAGCTTACGATTAATACGAAGATTTGATGTAAAAAACCTAGTGCAAAACAAATGCGAAAATACCAATCTTGGAGTTTTTACTCTCCAAGTTGAATCCCAATGAAAAACTAAGAGAAAATCTGTTCTGGAATGAAAGTACGAAAAGTACAATGTTCAAGATAAGTAAATTCTGCCCTAGGTTCGAATTATAAACTTTCTCGTTCAAAATCCATGAAAATCGCGACTTCCTGAAAACATACCCTAGCGGCGCTAGGGTAAGGGTAAACGACACTAGGACCCTCCCTTGCGGCGCTAAGGTCAAAGTCCTCGCAGCTGCAGTTGGTCGCTAGGTAGGCTAGTGTCGTTGGCTGAGATCCCTTAGCGGAGCTGAGGGAGCTAGCGGCGCTAAGTCATGAGTCTTCACATTTTTGTTGTTTCAAAGCGGCTAATGGTCTTCGGTTGACTCGTGGGCTCATGGCTAATGTCTTTCAGGTTCTGCCAGAGATGAAAACTCGATTTCTGTCTGCTTGGGTCGCAATAACAGCATAGAAATCCTAGAAACCAGAACGGAATACCTCTTCCCTCGTCTAGAACCTGTAATCACCACAACCGGAAAAATACGAAAAACAGAGAAAATAGGAAGAAAACAAAAAAAATGCCAAACATACCAAAATAAAGATAAAAATACAAGAAACGACTAGATGGACTGGAAAAACCAACAAAATGACCTACAACGAGGGAAAAGACACACAAAACATCAACAAAAATATCATAAAAAATGGGACAAATAGGAGCCATGCAGATAACGTTCAGATATTATTATGAATATATAGGGGGATAGAGGATCCCCTTGCCTAATGCCCCTGCTAGCAGTAATATCCACAAGGCTTGCCTTTAATGTTGAAGGATAAAGAGGGATAAGAGATGCAAGCCATGACCCATTTTACAAAGGTTGGATGGAACCCCATTTTATCATAGTCAGTTGCACACTTTTCCATTAAAGTCTGTCAAATGCTTTTGCCATATCAAACTTCATAGCCATGAAACAATTTTTTCCACTCCTATTCCTAGATAGAAAATGAAAGCCTCATGTGCTATTACTACATTGTCTAACAACTGCCTTCCAGAAAGAAAACCAGCCTGTGTTTCTAAAATGCATGAAGGTATGCAGTTTCTGAATCTCAGTGCAATAATTTTGGATATTATCTTGTAAAAAACAGCACATAGGCTAATAAGCCTGAATTGAATGAGAGAAGTGGGATTTTCACACTTAGGCACCAAATTAATAAGAGTGTGTTTCTAGTACTAAGCATTTGGCAAGAGAAGAAAAAGCTTTGAACACCTGAGCAGATATCTTCCTTGACAATTGGCCAAAAATGCTGGTAAAAAAGGCAGACATGCCATCCTCAATTGGGGCTTTGTCAGGATTCATGCTAAACAGATCTTTTTTTATATCAACTCCAATAACAAGAGAGAGGAATTCCTCATCCATTCTATCAGAGACCGTGGTTGGAATGAGAGGCAACAGAGTGTGGCCATGAGAAGAACCCTGAGATGTGTATATGTTGGAAAAGTATGTAGTGATTAACCCCTAAATTTCTTTCTGATCTTCATACAACAGATTATTGTCATTGAGAAGAACCCTGGGATGTGTATATGTTGGAAAAGCATGAAAGAACTTGGAGTTTGTGTCTCCTTCCTTCAACCAAAGAAGCCTTGCCTTTTGTTTCCAGAACATTTCTTCAGAACACAAAGCTTCAGCTAACTCCCTTTTCAGTTTATCCTATTTGTGCCAATTCTTTTCACCTCTCTCATGTCTCATATCCTCCAATGTTAAAGATAGATTAGAAATCTTATCCTTGCTGAGAGATCTAAAATGTCTGCTCCAAAGAAGAAGTGTGATTCTAGCCTTTTTTATTTTATTTTCTCTGTCTGAAAGCATGGGAGTGCCACCTGCATCATGGTCCCATGCCTCTTTAACAACATCTTGCAACCCTTCTTGCTTTAGTCACCTTTTATCAAATTGGAATCTTCTGCTTTTCTGTTGGTTTTGGACTTCTGTTGAGAGTACAAGCATATAGTGGTCAAAAGAGCTTCTGAACAGGCTTGTTGAGTGAGTATTGGATAAGGTTGTTACCCACCCTAAAGAAGCAAATGTTTTATCTGATTTCTCTTCCACATATCCTTCACCATCTCTGTTATTTCCCCAAGTAATTTGTTGTCCTTGATAAGGTATTTCTTGCATTCCCATGTCAGCTACAAAAGCTTTAAATCCTACAATGCTGGCCTCTGTTCTAACTCTACCTCTTTTCTCCTCTGAAGTCAAGAGGATGTCCTTCCAATCACCTGCCATGCACCAGAAGGATCCCCATTTGTCTTTTTCATCAATAAGGGTTGCCCATTGCATTTTCCTCTCTGGTTTCAAAACAATCAGGTATACAAAATGGCTCAACAAGCAGATGAACCTGATGAAGGAATGAAATTCACAGCAATGAAAAAATTAGTATAATAAATATTAACAACTTGGATTTTGGCATCCCATAAAAGCAAAAGACCTCCGCTTCAACCTCTGGGCTCCACAATATAGTTCCTGGAGGTATAACCCGTTTTATTACAAACAGAATGAGTAACTTGTTTTGATTTATTCACTTCAGATAAAAAAATGAAGTTTTGGTTATGGCATCTAATGACATCCTTGAGCTGGAGAACTATAGAGGGCCCACTCAGTCCTCTACAGTTCCACACTATAACATTCATTTGTTTTCTGAGGGCCCATTAAGGTTGGCACTCTCTACCCTTACCAGACCGAGTTTTGGTTTCTTGTCTCTGTCTCCTTCTCGAGTGGAAAGTTCCTCTGGTGAAGGTGTTTCATTAAGATTGTTTCTCCCCCTTTTAGAAATGGCAGGAATTGTTGATTTGGGGTGATTTCTCCTCTGGAGTCTGCCATCTATTTTAGCTGCTCTTTTCCATGTTCTTCTAGTTGAGGAGCTTGGTTTTGGCTCCATAAAAAGAGACACTAATGGCATTGGCTTTGCTGTGAGTTTGTCAATTCATGCTGGTTCCACCAGGATAATTTGTCTCTCATTGTTAGCATTCCCTTCAATATCTATTGAAACATGGGGCTCAATCATGACTGAATCAGGATTTGTAGGGACAGGTTCTGAATTACTGTGGTGAAGCGTGTCAGTACTTGCCTTATTTCCCCAGATATTGGTAGAGGCCTTGGGATTTCCTGAGTATAAGGTCTGAGAAGTCTTAGCTAGAGTACCTGAATCCCCCATATTTGGTTGTGATTCATTTGGATTACAAGGAACTTATTTTGGTTGGCCTGAAGAGGAGCTTGAGTTATTCCAGTTGGAGCCAATGGGAGAATCTCTAGCTCTCAACCAATCACCAAACTGTCCTTCCTTGGGAACTTTGTTCAATGTATGCCATTCTTGCAGAACATGTTCGTTCAATGTGGCTTACCTTTCCGCAATAGAAGCAAAGATTTACCAATCTCTCATATTTGAACTCAACAGAGATTATTTGGTCCCCTAGTCGTATATTAGCACATCTGGGCAGGGCCTCTGTCAGATTAATTGCCACCAGAAGTTTAATGAATCTTCCTCCTTGGTGAACCGAGGTAACCACCAAAACGTTGAAGACTTCATGAAAGATTTTCCCCACATTGAGCCCCACCTCCTTTATTATCCAATTCAGCGAGATTTTATGCACTTGGACCCAAAGCTTTAGGAGATTGAAACCTTCATAGTTGGCCGACATTCCTTTCTTCCATGGTTGAAGTATTAAGTACTGGTTTTCAAATAACCGGTTAGTGCCACTGGCCACCTCTCAAAAATGAGAGACCCTCCTAACGACAGAAAAGAAACCCTCCTACGACGGAATAACAACTCTCCGGCGAGAGAATTTACAATGAGCGTTAAATTTAATTAGTATGGCGAGATAATGTAAATATGTAATAATTACTCCCTCCGTTTCAAATATGTAATAATCACTCCCTTTCGGTTTCCGGATCCACAAGGGAATCGATTAATATTTAGATACATAGCAAAGTGGATGTATCGAAAAAGTCAAAGCTGACTTATAATTTGAAACGGAGAAAGTAATATTTATTGTATTGGTGTGGAAAGTGGAAATTCCGCTCCACCGACAGTGCCCCGTAATATTATAACATTGAAAATCTCCGATCGAGAAAAATATGGTTCAACAGAAGATATTCTCACGCAACTCTCCTCAGCTTTCATACCCCTCATTACAGTTGTATTCTTGCGGGCATTTTTCAAGTGTTGTACTCTACTGTCGGCAATCCAACCCTTCCCCTCTCTGTCTCTCTCACGAAAGCGTAATATATCTCACAAGTCCTCCAGTTAAATAAGTAAAGCTGCTCTGAAACAAAGCTTCTGCCACCATTTGATTTGTTCTCTCTCTACTAGTTGAGTTGCAGATCTTGAGAGCAAGAACAATCTATCTGCAAGTAGCCCAAGAAATGGAGCTCGGCTTCCGATCTCTATTGAGATTTGCAGCCCCCACTTTTCTATTGCTTTCTTGCTACACCTTCACTTCAACTGGTAACTCTCTCTCTCTCTCTCTCTCTCTCTCTCTCTCTCTCTCTCTCTCTTTCGTTCTCTCATTTAATTTTGTTGTATATAGTCCGGAACTAGCTTCCGTTGTGGGATTGTCTCAAGAAAAAGATTTAATCTGGATGTTTGTAAGTTGGATGGTTTCTAGTATCATAAATGAGTTAAAAGGGATTCTTGCCGTTGAAATCATTAATTCTTTGTTAACTTAAATTAGTTGTTCAAATCTCTAAGGGAGTTGCTGAAATCTGCTATTGTCTTTAAGTTTTCAATTCTATAGATATATATATATATATTTCTGTAATTTCTTTAACTATCGTTGCTGAATAGGACATTTTTTTTTTTTTAAATATATATTGGGATTGGATTATCTCTTAATTTAGTGAATTGGATGAGATTAAATGTGCGTTACATGATGAAAGGTGTTTGTTTTGAGTTTGTTGAAACGGAGGTGTGCTTACTTTATGTTGTCCTCTTTCCAGAAGCATACGATGCGCTTGATCCAAATGGAAACATCACAATCAAATGGGACGTCATCAATTGGACTCCCGACGGCTACGTGGTGAGTGAGAGTGAGAGTTAGTTACCATGTTGAAATTGATGAATGAATTTATTTGTATTGTATTGTATTGTATTGTGTTTTCCAGGCTGTTGTTACGATGTTCAACTTCCAACAATACCGTCACATCCAAGCCCCCGGGTGGAGCCTCGGGTGGAGTTGGGCAAAAAAGGAAGTGATCTGGAGCATGATGGGTGGCCAAACAACCGAACAAGGAGATTGTTCGAGGTACAAAGGGAACATCCCACATTGCTGCAAGAAAGACCCAACAGTGGTGGACCTCTTGCCTGGGACCCCTTACAATCAGCAGATTGCAAACTGCTGCAAAGGGGGTGTCATCAACTCCTGGGCTCAGGACCCTACCAATGCTGCCAGCTCCTTCCAGGTCAGCGTGGGAGCTGCAGGGACCACCAACAAGACCGTGAGGCTCCCAAGGAACTTCACCCTCAAGGCCCCAGGCCCTGGCTACACCTGTGGGCCCGCCAAGATCGTCAAGCCCACCAAGTACGTCACGCAGGATGGGAGAAGGGTCACACAGGCTATGAGTAAGTTGTTTTCTGTAAGTTAACAATTATTGATTTGCTAGCGTTTGTTTGTTCACCTTAAACCAAATCTATAATCAGAATAATATACATTACTTCTAGTTTCGTCGTGTATGTTTCAAATTATATTCTTTTCTTGAATTGTTTCTAATACCTTGTGTCCTTAAATTAATTACAGTGACATGGAACATCACATGCACATACTCACAGTTCCTCGCTCAAAAAACTCCAACATGTTGTGTCTCATTGTCATCCTTTTATAACGACACTATCGTCCCTTGCCCCACCTGTACCTGTGGATGCCAAAATAACCTTACTCAGCCTGGGAGCTGCGTCAAGTAACTAAGCTTGCTCTTTATTTTTTTTTTCTCTCATTTTCAAATATTTCGTGCAATTTATTTTTTCTTTTTAAATTGTTGCAGTCCTGATTCACCATATCTTGCTTCGGTTGTTTCGGAAAGAGGGAGGAGTAATAATCTGGCACCTCTAGTCCAGTGCACTACCCACATGTGCCCCATTCGGGTACACTGGCACGTGAAGGTCAACTACAAGGAGTACTGGCGTGTTAAGGTCTCAATAACCAACTTTAATTACAGGATGAATTATACGCAGTGGAACTTGGTCGTCCAGCATCCCAACTTTGACAATTTGACCGAGATTTTCAGCTTCAATTACAAGCCTCTCAATCCTTACCAAAATATAAGTAAGTGCTGCTATAAAGAACGACTTCATAACGTAATTTTTTTTCTCTCTTTTGTGACTGGAAGTGATTATGTCTCGGGAAGTCTCTTTATTGGTTAGACAATAGTCATGTGAGGATAATTGAAGAAAAAGGACAACGTAAAATTGAAATGGAAATATGCCGATGCACAATAATGATTAAATATGATCGATAATTGATAATTAGGATATTTCAGTGTGCCAATAACAAAATATGTGGAAAATGTGTGACTTGTTATCTTATTTTCTTATAATGTGTGTTCATGATTGGTGTAAGAAAACTGCAAGTGTGTGAATTGTATTTTTGTTACAATCTTCCTTATACAAACAGTTGTACCCAAAAAATCCCTCGAAAATGATAAATGAAACAAAATGGTATCCAAGCAGGCCCGAGGCACTTGCCTCTGTTCAACTTTCTTCTTTTCACTTCAAACCTTTTAAAACACACCCGACCATATCATTTTGATTTACTTACTTGGAGGTGAAAGCTAATGCGAATCATGTGGGATTCATTATTTAATTTTTCTGACTCAATAGATGATACTGCAATGCTATGGGGCGTCAAATTCTACAATGACTTGCTCAATCAAGCGGGCCCCCTAGGAAACGTGCAGTCGGAGCTTCTTTTCCGAAAGGACAAAAACACATTCACTTTCGAAAAGGGTTGGGGTTTCCCCAGAAGAATTTATTTCAACGGTGACAATTGTGTCATGCCGCCTCCCGACGCTTATCCGTATCTGCCAAACGGGACTTTGCGCCAAAATTTCTCGTTTTTATTGCTACTCATCTCTCTCTTATCGTCTTTGGCAATCCATTTCACGTGCTTTTAAGAATTTCGGCTTGCTTTGAAACGGTGGGTTCTCGTCTTGTGGCATTGGTTAGTTGAATGAAAGAGCTACTTGAAAGAATTTATCATATATATGCTGCAGGAGTTTGGCAAGAACTTTGTGGCGACGTTAAGACTTTCTTGCTTACTGTAATTTTTGTTGGATTCAGTGGCATTTTTATTTTTTTATTTATTTTTTTTATTTTTTTTTTATTTTTATTTATTTATTTTTTTTTTTATAGTTTTGTAGTTGGAATGTACGACGTGTAATGTTTATACAGTATTTATTATAGGAATTTTATTTCGAATAAGAACAGTTTGATATATACAGCTGATTGTAAAATATTTTAAAATATTTGTTCTCATTGCTATATTATATTACCTGTTTTTATTTTGTTTATTTTTTATCTTTTCATGGCCGCAATTAGTTATGTATATTTGACATGTGGGTTATTTCATAGTGGAGACGTCAAAATTGACAAAATTTATAAATACTGTTATGGGCAAGTGGAATCTTACTACTAATAATATTAACTAGTGTACATCCCGTGCGATGCACGGGAACAATAGTAAATTAACAATATTATAAAAAAATTTCGAGTTTGAGAAACTCAATGGCGGAAGTGGAAATTACTATTGATCCTATTTAAAAAGGAAAAGAAAAAAATAATAATTATAAATTAAAGAGAAGAATAAACAATACTTAATAATTATAAATTAAAGATTCGGGGTCAAACAATGTAAAATTATTTTGTATAATAGAATATAAAATTTACATTATTTTGTATAAGAGAATGTAAAATTTGTATGTTTAATATTAAGACACCTAAAATATTATATTAGTATATGTAATAGTATTCAAATTTTTCTATATTATTTTTGAAAGATGTGAAATCACCTACAACTTTTCTAAATAATTTTAGAAGAAAAACATATCTAAAAACATTTGAATTTAACATTGTGTAAAAAAAAATTTCTAGACTATTTTGTAAATAAAACATGTCTACATATATATTTAAATTTAACATCAATTATGTGTATGTGTATATGTATATGTATATAAATATAGACGAATATGTAAAAAAATGTCTAAACAATTTGTTTCAAGTATCTAAAATATTATAAGTCTAATTTAATAAAATCATACCGAATTTATGGTGTTCCATCTAAAAATATTTGATTACACAAAATTTGAAAATTATTAGTTTTGATACCAAAAATAATTACAAATATTTATTTTGATACCAAAAAACAGGACAGAGAATAACAAATTCTACCCAATAAATCAGTCGATTTGTTACCCTATCTACCCAAAATATCAATAAATCAGCCATTGACTACCCCTACTTACCAAAAAAATAGAAAAGACAATTGCTAAGTTTTAGGACACTGTTAATGAAAGACAATTGGCGAGTGATTATATATATATATATATATATATATATATATATATTGGCGGGAAAAATTGGCGGGAATCCTTAAAAAGTTATTCTTTTAATATATAGATATATATTTTATCTTATCATGGTGTATAGAAATGTGTGCAATAATGCTTGAATTTTGTCTATAAAAGGCAAGAGAAATGGTTCATTGTATGTACGGAAAAAGGAAGAAGAAAGCAAAGAAAGTTTGATTTATATCCAGTTTTTACATTGTGTTCTTTATATTCCTTGCATTTTATAACACGTTATCAGCACGAACGTTCTACTCGGTCAAGAAAGGTAGGAATATAATAATAATAATATATATATGTATATGTATTGTATTTCACTAATATACATATTACCATTATTCTTGACAAGTTAGGCTCTGCCACAGTCAAGGATATATATACATATTAGCATTATTCTTGACAAGTTAGGCTCTGCCACAGTCAATGATATGTGGGATGGATATACTAAATATGAACATATTACCATTATTCTTGACAAGTTAGGCTCTGCCACAGTCAAGGATATGTGGGATGAATATATACTAAATATGAACATATTACCATTATTCTTGACAAGTTAGGCTCTGCCACAGTCAAGGATATGTATATACTAAATATGATATTATTTACAAATTACCATTATTATTGACAAATTAGGCTATGCCATAGTCAATAATATGTGGTAAGATGATATTATTAAATTTGCTTATGAATTATTATTCAAGTTGTAATAAATAATATTATTACTTATACTTAACACCCACAAAATGGTTTACCCAGTAATGTGTCGTGAAATTTATAACTACTTATTCTTGTACCCACCGAAAGATTTATTGAGTAGTGTGGAGTGACATTTTTATTTGATTTTTTATTTATTAAATTGTTTACGTAATGACTCGGTGAATTTTTAAGGTAATATACATGATCAATTAGAATTTTATGATCATAAATGATTAATTAGTAAATATTATATCATTAAATTTGTTTGCAACGACTAGTTAACGGTTATTTTTGTAACGGCTATTTACCAATATCTGTATATAACACTACAATTCATTTTCATAATCCAAACACTCAAAAAATATTTTCTTTATAAGAAAAAAAAATGTTTGATCCATTACTTATAATTACCATTATCTTGTTTATTATATACATTTTGCTAATTTTCACGATGATGTATCGTACTGTTGGATTTAAATTTTATGTATTAGGCCTTTGTATAATGTGTTTAGTATTTGCTCTTTTGTACGTATTGAAGAATTAATGATTGTATATGTAATTTTTCGAATCTAAGCATTGATGTTTTATGTTATAGTTATCATGGCAAATCTGGTCAAACTCGAATTTGAAGCTCTCGATATATCTGAGAAAAATTATATCTCATGGACATTGGATGCCGAAATTCATTTGGCGGCAATGGGGTTAGAAAAAACAATAAACTCCCCAAATGATTCATCAATACAGGATAAAGCTAAAGCAATGATATTTCTGAGGCATCATTTGAATGAGGCATTGAAAAATGAATATTTAACTGTTGAAGATCCTGCGGATCTCCGGAAAGCCTTGAAAGAAAGGTATGATCACCAGAAAACGGTGATTCTCCCCCGGGCTCGTTATGAATGGATGCATTTACGCTTCCAAGATTTCAAAACTGTAAACGAGTACAATTCAGCCATGTTCCGCATTTGCTCGGTATTGAAATTATGCGGCGAAAACATAACTGATTACGATATGCTGGAAAAAACGTTGTCCACATTCCACGCTTCAAATCTACTTTTGCAGCAACAATACAGAGCAAAAGGCTTTGTGAAGTATTCTGAGTTAATTTCTTGTTTGCTGCTGGCTGAATAAAATAATGAATTGTTGATGAAAAATCATGAATCTAGACCCACGGGATCTACTGTGGTCCCTGAAATAAATGCTGTAATATGTATAATTCAGGCCGGGGATATAATCGTGGGCGAGGCCGTAACTATGCCCAAAATTTTGAAAGGGGGAGAAATTTCCAGCCAAAATTTGAACAGAACAATGTGACGGAGAATAATGATGAAAAGACATGTTATCGATGTGGAAAGACGGAACATTGGGCGCGAAATTGTCGTGCTCCGAGACAAGTTGTTGATAATTATAAAAATTCTCAGAAATCAAAAGATAAGAATATAGAAACCAATTTTATGATTGGGGAATCTTCTGAAAATGATTCAACACGTGTGGATGATGAATATGGCATCGATGACATATTGAACCTGGATTTTGCTGATGCGGTAGTTGAAGACAGAGCTGGAAATGACCACGAGAATAAGGATGAATGTTTTTTTATTGCTTTCTAAGTTTTGTTGTATGTGTGTGCTTTTATCTGAATTTCGACTTTAATCAATAATAAATGTTATTTTTCTTTTAGATCATGGATCGATCTCGAATCCAAAATGGAGATATATGTCTTGCAGATTGTGCAACTACTCACACTATATTCAAGGACAAAAAATATTTCGTCAACTTGAAATTAAATAAAGATAAAGTAAACACAATTTCTGGAAATGCAAAGATAATTGAGGGTTCTGGAAAACCCATATTTTTTATGATGGGAGGTACAAATTTATATTGAATGATGCATTATTCTCCCCAAAATCAACAAAAAATTTTGTTGAGTTTTAAAGATATCCGAATGAACGGATACCACGCTAAAACAATGAATAAAGGGGGAGTTGAATATCTTTGCATTACCTCAAATATTGTGGGAAATAAATGTGTTTTGGAGGAATTACCAGCTTTATCCTCGGGCTTATATTACACCCGCATTCATATTATCGAGACTTATGCTGCAACAAATTCAAAGTCAGTTGAAATGTTTAAACTTTGGCATGATCGACTTGGTCATCCTGGCTCAATAATGATGCGTAGAATTATTGAAAATTCGAGTGGGCATCTATTAAAAAATCAGAGGATACTGCAAACACATGAATTAACGTGTGCCTCCTGTTCTCAAGGGAAATTGATAATAAAACCATCACATACTAAAGTCGGGCATGAATCACCATTATTTTTGGAAAGGATTCATGGTGATATATGTGGACCTATTCATCCACCTTGTGGTCCATTTAGATATTTTATGGTGTTAATTGATGCCTCTAGTAGATGGTCTCATGTGAGTTTGTTATCCACTAGAAATGTGGCATTTGCTAAATTACTTGCTCAACTTATTAAATTAAGGGCACAATTCCCAGATGATATTATCAAAAGAGTCAGACTTGACAATGCTGGAGAGTTTACATCTCAAGCATTTAATGATTATTGCATGGCAGTGGGAATTGATGTGGAACATCCTGTAGCACATGTTCACACTCAAAATGGTTTAGCAGAATCATTGATTAAACGACTGCAGCTTATAGCCAGACCATTGATAATGAGGACAAAACTCCCCACTTCAGTATGGGGACATGCTATTCTGCATGCAGATAATCTAATTCGCAAAAGACCAAGTGCACACCATACATACTCGCCATTACAATTGACATCTGGTCGAGAACCAAATATTGCACATATAAGATTTTTGGTTGTGCAGTATATGTACC